TGTGGAAAGCTGTTATTCCAGGAACTGGAAAGCGTGACCACCTGACTTCAGGAGGAGGAAGGGCAAGTTGACCTTCCTGCCCCAGGGGTCTATGGGCAAGGAGATGGTGTCTGAGACGTGGAGTTCCGGGGAGGGAAGGCATGACTATGATGAAGAATTTGATCAGCAGATAAAGAAATACCAGGAAAATGGCCACAGGACTGCAAATCTTACCTGATTAACCTTTTCCCAAATACCTTACCTACCCTTTCCTTGAGATGAGAAGATAAGATGGTTTGTGAGGGTATGTAACCTGCTGTCTTCTCAGATCGCTGGCATCTGAATAAAGTGCCCATAAAGATTCAATCCTTGTATCTATTTATTGTTTCTGGTAGTGAAAGGCAGCATGGACACTGACTTTTTTAGTTTCAACTCGGACAGTCAGAGAGGTGGGGGGCGGGGAGAGAGAGACAGAGACAGACAGAGACAGAGAGAAAGAAGGAAAAATGGACCCACTGCAAAAAAGGAAAAAAAAAGATTGGTTTTATTTGGGGGTCCTAAGGACCATTGTTAAGGATCCAGTATATTAGATGCATTTTAAATGAGGAAATAACTAATTATAAACATTATTGTTTTATTTATATTGAAGTCTACATCCTAATTCATTTTCTTGAAGGTAAAGACTAATGTATTTTTAATAAAAATATTTAAAATAAATATCGTATGTTTAAAATAAAAATAGAAATGCTACTTAGAATAAAAAGGATGAAAACACGTTAGTCTGGGGAACTCAGGACTCCCTAGCACTGTGGGACACCTTCTCCACGGTGACATATTAATCCCTTGTGCCCTGGCTGGTGTAGCTCAGTGGATTGAGCTCGGGCCTGCGAACCACACGATCACTGTTCAATTCCCGGTCAGGGCACATGCCTGGGTTGCAGGCCAGTTCCCAGCAGGGCACTCACAAGAGGCAACCATACATTGATATTTCTCTCCTTCTCTCCTTCCCTTCCTCTCTAAAGATAAATAAATAAAATCTAAAAAAAAAAATCCCTTGTACTAGCCATTCATACCCTATCTTCTCCCTGGACCTCTAGTCCATTTACTCTCAGGCCATGGGCTCCAGCGCGTGTTCATGTCCCGGGTTCACTGCCTAGCACCCAGTGAATGGAACACGGTGCCCAGGGAATAGGAAAATGCAGCTGTCGCACCTCTTGTTAACTGATTTACCTACAGGGCTGATACTTTGTATCTGAAATAGGCAGTCCGGGCTTAGAAACTGAGTATTATCTGTGCAGCCTCAGGCAAGTTTATTACCCCACTGTTTCCTCATCTGTAAAACAGGATTGCTAGGGGCCCACCTCTCAGGAACACTGGCAGGATTAAATGAGTACATGTAAAATGCTTACAAGAGTGACTGGTATTTAGTAAGCACTCAAGTGTCAGCTATTAATGGTTACTATTACTAAAGTGTTGCTTCCTTGGAATTACTCCTACTTACCTGTCCTCCAGTGAACAAGCTTTCAGTCTCAAAATTCCAGTAGACTCAAAGATTACAACCAACCAGGTAAGCATGCCTCCATGAGGGTGTCTTAATATTTTGTGATCTTCTTTAAGAACAGAACTTTTCTACTGGTGCTTTTATGGTCCAGACTAGATGATCTGATTCAGTAGGTTTGGTACATGAGTCGAGTTAAAAAGGGGCCAGAGTGGGGCAGACAGAGGAAGCTGTTCCGATCAGCAAAACCCTCAGCCCCTGCTCAGTTATTGTTCAGACTTGAAGATGTTTGTCACAATGCTGCTCGAGTGTAAATTTCTTTAGAAAGAACAGCATACAATCTTAACACATAACATGGTAACCTCAAATTTGTAGCAGCACGTTACATACACATCAGTTCTACAAACACCCGAGGATGTTAATTTTCAAGACCTGTGGCTGGGGTCTTTGGTGTGATCTTCAAGCCCCCAAACTTCCCTGGCCATGCTAACCATGGGAACGGTCACTGACTTCTAAGCCCCAGTTCATCAGTGACTTGGTGAGATGTCTGACAAACATTGCAGATAGAACTTATCTTATTTTTTCCTCCCCTGTGTGCATTGACAGAACAATGTTATCAAACAGTTTTGCTTGCGAGGGTCACAAGAACTTGGGAATATTGTACTTCAGCCTAAATGTGAGCAGAATCCAGCAACTTTTCCTAATGGCCACTCTTTCCTTCCCGGTGTTCAGGTTAAAACGTGGGTGTTAACCTTCACGCCTCCAGTGCTCAAACCTCAGATTCAGTTGATCAGAAACACTGTGAGTGTCCTTTTAACATGTTAGTCAGAAACCAATGACCTCTTATTCCCTCTACTGCTACCCCTGATCTAAGCCATCAGAATATCTCTAAGCCATCAGAATATCTCACTGCGATTACTGCAATACTTTTCTTATTTTTATATTTTTAAATATTTTATTTATTTTTAGACAGAGGGGAAGGGAGGGAGAAATGGGGAGAGAAACACCAAGGTGTGGTTGTCTCTTATGCACCCCCTACTGGGGACCTGGCCCACAACCCAGGCATGTGCACTGACTGGGAATCAAACCGGTGGCCCTTTACTTTGCAGGCCCGTGCTCAATCCACTGCGCCACACTGGCCACGGCTGCAATACTTTTAATTGGTCTCCCACAGTAGCTAATACAATCCTTTTAAAAGTTAGTTTGCATCAGGTACTCTCCTTCAAAACCTTTTAGTAGCTCCCTATCTCGCTTAGAGTAAAAATCGTTTCTTATGAAAAGCCTAGCGGGTCCTGAGCCTGCCAGCAACTTCACAAGGCTTCACTTCCTCCGACCTCTTCTCTACCCACCCCCGGCTCCTTCTTTGCTCAAATGCCCTTCAGTGAGGCCTATCCTATGTAAATATGCACTTACCCACACATACCTAAGCATTTCCTAGGCTATATTCTGGTTTTCTCCTGAGTGCTTGTCACTAATAGAGAAGTACCTACAGTGGGGTCCCCAGAACTAACAAGTTTCTAGGTGATGTGATGCCGGGGGTCCAGGGACCGCACTTTGAGAACCACTGCTTCAAGGGAATTTGTCTTATCCCTCTCTCGATACTTCTGATTTGGGTGGTGCTAAACAACTCAACTCCAGGGACCACCAGATTACCTGAAGTGTTTCTTAAAACTTAGAATAGGTCCCACCCTTAGAGTTTCTGATTGGGTAGGACTGGGGTGGGGTAGGGCTTGAGATTTTCAGTTCTAACAATTACCCTTTGAAAACATGATACGGTTTCTATTAAATTTGTCTGTTTCTTCTCATTTGAATACATAGTCCATGAATCAAGAGTTTTTTCCCGTTTTCTACAGTTTCTTCATGCACAGGACACTATCAGGAACAAAGTAGCTGCTCAATAAATACAGGTTGAACGGCTCAATGAAAATTGCTATCCTAGTGTTACGTCAGTCAAGTTCTAACTTCCTCTTGTCAATTTAATATGAAAAAATATGAAGTTAAAAAAATCTTTAGTTAATCCCTCAAGAGAGGATTTTTAAGCAATAAGCTCCAGTAAACAGGATTTCCCAACATTCAGGAAATGATTACGAACACCTTACATTATTAACATAACATCATTGTTAACAATAAACCTCCGTGGAATGCTGCTCTGCACTGACCACTTCAGCTATTACAACAAACCGAGGTGGCCAGGGGCACTGCTTCCAGGCTCCAGGGAAGGGTCGGCGCACTAGGGCCTCTGGGGTTCCCACCTGTCTTCTTCCTTCTCCATACTCTCCCGATTCCAGCAACGAACCAAGTGTCAAATAAGAGGTGACCGTTTTTCTTCTAGTGTGCAGCATTCTTATGATTTGCATTGAAAATTTCCCCTCTTATAACATTAATGATCATTCCAACCACTTTTCTAGGGCAGCAAAGTTCTAAACAAGTGGGTCAGAGCACTGGCTTTCTACAGATGTTGCAGAAATTCAGTTGAGACACAGATGTTTTTTGGGAGGCATGTTATTTGGGACTTGTTTTTGCAATAATTTGTAAGTTTGTGCTGTCTGAATACTCTATCAAACCTATACAACAGCATTACACTTATGCAAAGAAAAACTGATAAATGATTATGAATTAATAATTCATTTCTTTTTCAGATAGGCTATGAGATCAGGGGTCATCAAACTTTTTTTTAGAAGGCAAAATAGTAAATATTTTAGGCTTGTAGGAAATATAATTCTGCAGTGGTGGAAAGCAGCCACAGATAAAATGAATGAATGAGTATGGTTTTGAGAAACAGAACTTTATTTACATATAACAGATGGCCAATACATGGACCGTAGTTTGCTGACCTATAAGTTATAGTACTTCAATCTTTGTGGAATAAATGAAATGAACCAGATGAATTACAGGTAAATTTGCCAAATTTATCTCTCTCATAATGAAAATTGTGTCTTACTACAGAAATATATTCCTGTAACTCAAAGTAATGACTTAAAAATATGAAAATTCTAGCATGCAAATCAAAACAGACATTTGGCTCTGTAGTAAGTTGAACTAGTAAATAAGAATCCTTGTATTTATTTTTTTACAAATGCAGGCGACAAAACTTATAAATGTAACAACCGAGAATCTAATTTCTTATAGTCTCCTGCACCCTTCAGAGCTACACACTCTAGAGATTCCATCCATAGCAGCAGAGGAGAATCTTACCTTAAAGCACCAAGTTTCCAGGCATCACTAAAGTGTTTTTCATTCTCTAACACATGCAGGCAAAGTGCCTAGGGAGCAAATACCAATCCACCTTAAGCTCCAATGGGTCAGGGATAGCAGATGGGGAAACCAACATTATTTTTAAGTCTAAAAGTGATCTATCTCCTTACCTTACTTCTTTCCATAAAACTTTAAATTTTGAATGTAGTAATATTTAACATGAATATAAGTTGATTTTTTAACATAATCTCTTTCAGATTCATCTAACAGTGTAGGATGTTCATACTTGTTTTATAATTTGTGAGGAAAACAAGAAACATGTCTCATCTAGAATATTCTGACAATCTTTATTAAAAGTTAAATTTAGAATTTTATAGCAAAGTAATCTGTCCAAATTATAGATTAAAATATTCCTTAATTTATGTAAATTAAGACACAAAGTTCATTCCCAATACAGAACTGTATTTCCATTTTTCCAAGCAGGGTTCAATGGGCATTTTTAGGGTCTCGCTAACACCAGCCCCGGACACCCAGAGATTACTGGGTCCACTGAGAGGGCAAGGACACTGGTTGAGGCTGCTGATGAATGCTTCACAGGAATCTGAGAACAGACACAGATTTCAGTGTTACAGTCAGTGGAAGTGAAGTCTTCCTTAAGACTGTGCCTGTGCTCCTGAAAGGCGAAGGTATGGAGTAATGACGTTAGTTCTTTAGGCCAAATGCATGGATCTGTGCATGGAGGCTCTACTCTCTGCCTGTGGTCAGTAACTTGAGGGCTTTCTGCAGATTCTGCACGGCGGTGCTGACGTCTTCATACTGCAAAGCACTGCCAGCGTATTTGCAGTACTTCTGAGCTCTGGCAAAGTCCTCTGGTGTAAGACGGATATCCCCTGCAAGAGAAAGGATAATTCAGATGTTAATGAGAATAGAAAGTGTTCTGTTTAGGTTGGGTAAATGCTTAAATTAAAGATTACAGAAAATATTAGAGGTTATATAACAACATAAAGGATTTTTTCAATTCCAGTTGCACTTAAATACATTTTCTCATGCTATCAATTATTTTTTTTTACGAATATAAACCACACACCTGGCTGGTGTGGCTCAGTGGATTGAGTGTGGGCCTGAGAACCAAAGGGTCACCAGTTAGATTCTCAGTCAGGGCACATGCCTGGATTGTGGGCCAGGTTCCCAGTAGGGGGTGTGAGAGGCAACCACACATTGATGTTTCTGGCCCTCTCTTTCCCTTACCCTCTCTCTAAAAGTAAATAAATAAATCTTAAAAAAAAAAACCCTAATATGAACAATATACATACCAATACACAGTAACTTCTATGAACAAGATTTTTCTTTCAGAAGTAATAAACTAGAAGCCTTTACATTTTGGCAAACTACAAAAACTTACACTCTGGAGGACAAGGATAGCATCACTCTGCCTATTTTTTCATGGAACGATACACAAAGACTCAATCACTCAACCCTTACTTGAACTGGAAACATAACCCTCGATTTAAAAAGAAACCAAACTTTATGTGAAAATACTACATAAGTTGTTTAACTTTTTTTAAACATAAAAAGGTTTTACATTTTTGTGCCACCCATATAAAAAACTCTAAGGTTTAACAAAGTTTTTATATCATTAAACTACACAAATAGACAAGTAAATCACCCTTATAAATGATTTCTCCAGAATTTCTTTTCCACATACACATGTGACTGGTATGTGCAGAGCCCACTAAATCATCTGGTTCCATGTACACATGTGACTGGCATGTGCAGAGCCCACTAAATCATCTGGGTAGGCAAACTACACTAAAAATGTTCCACAGAATCTAAGAGTTGAATATACTTCAATACATAATTCTAAAGATGAAATTAAATGCTGACCTTGTATTTTGTTTTCTGAAATACTGTTTTCCTTAAAATTTTTATAAGGATTCTAGGAGAACTGATCAGAAAGCTAGGGGCATGGACTATAAAGAACTGATAATACACTGTTACCCATTAAATCTAAAAAAAAATTATCCTGTAGTTCTGTGGACAGTTTAGTCAGGTCTATTTCAGTTTTATTTTTTGCTTTAAAGTACCTACAAGATTCTTAATGTTTTTTCAACATATATTAAGAGGCTCTAGCCAATGAGAAGATACACTACCTCGGTAAGTACACACTGAGACACCTTTAATTTTCAGTTTACGGTAACACTGCTCATTTGTGTTTGAATATTCTACCCTCCCATCTCAAGACAGTCTTTAAACACAGCATGCACCCCACCCCGGCCCCCCAGCTCATGGACCTGCTGCAAGAGAGCCCGTCGCTCAGGGCCAGTCCTACTGCCGCAGCGTTGGCTTCGGCGCTGTTCTGCTGACCCATCACTCACGCATCACTCTAGTTTCATAACCTAAACTTATCCACTAATGATGAAACCGTTTTAAAACAGAAATACTGACTTTTATTATGAAATAAGTATGTCAGTATTTATAAAATGTGAAAGTATTTTAACAAAAATATAATTACAGACATGTGACAAATATAATAAATATGTATGAGAAATTTTGTAACTTAAGATATAACTAGATAATAACCAACTGATTATAATCTAGATAAACAATGTAAGTTATATAGACTAGAGATGTAATCTGTTTTCAACTATCAGAAATACGAAGAACCTAAGCCATGTCAAATAGTTACTTCTAGTATTTCGTAACAGTTCAGGCTTTCCTTCATTTAAAAAATATAATGTGTAAGTCATTAAAATAAAGCATTTTCATTATAATTTTTAAATAAAAACAAACTGTCTAAGTATTTTTGTTTTAAATTAGCACTTAAAAACTAAATAAAGTAGGAAAGACATAGGAAAGAAAATCAGTTCAATTTCATTTTATCTGTTTCTATATTCAGAATAGCAAATACTGATTAATGCACAAAAATAAAAGTTATTTTTTCTATTATTAAAATTTACCAGAACCCATACTCAGAACTAGAGATGGATAATATTACGGCCCTAAACGGTGTGTGAAGGGTTAGAGACATTGTTTAACACAACATGTCTTTTATGACATCTGTGCTTTCAAGTTCCAGATGGCTTCAGACAAGACCGTCTGTATGACAGGGCAGGGCAAGAACAGGGAGAGAAGGCAGCCAGAGCTGCCAAATCAAGCTCTCCACTACACTGGAGAGAGAGCCCTGGTCAACATGGGATCAAAGGGATTAGTATTTGGTGTGAGAGAAGCGCCCGCATGCTCAGCTGGCACAAGCATCCTTTTCCAAGGTTGCCTTACCAAGTTTCCAAGGAATAACACTTAACTGTAAACATTTCCAAAATGGGTCTTTAGAGGTATTTTCCTATTCAAGTAGGAAGCTCTAGAAATTCATGTCAAGGACCTTGGATAACCTGATCCTAATGTATTCTATTATTCTGTGACTTAAAGGATGCACAGGCGAACCATCTGACCTGCAGTCAGCCTGGGAGGTAAATGCAGACAGAGCATGGGAGTCTACGAATGATGTTGACACAAATATCTATATAAATACATTTTATGCCCATGTCTAAGTATTTTTAAAGATGGATTCTAAAAAGGGTAATAATAGCTGGGCCAAAAAAAGTTATGTTTGCAATTCTGATAATGACATAACGTTCCTGAGAAAAGCTTTACAATTAACACCCCCACCAACAGCACACAGAAGACTCTCTCTGTTTTCAATAACAATGCCGCTTATACATCTTTTAAAATCTTTTTGCACCTATTTAAATGTATAGTCACCAACATAGTCCTTGGTGCGCAGAGACACCATCACCTTTGGCAGAGAGTGCACCGAGCTCCACTTTGGGCAAGCATGTATTCCCAGCCGCTTATCTTCCCTAACTTTCATTAAATTCTGGACCAACTACCAATAAATCTTTTTGCTGTCATGCCAGTAAGCCAACTAGTACAAAATTAGAAAAGCACAATTTAAGCAGTTCATGTTATGTTTATACAGACATCAGACAGGTAAATGTGATGCCTCCTTCCATTCCCCTTCCTGAAAAAGGTCTCTTCCTTAGACTGAGAGGCAGGTAGCTTAATGTCCAGTTCCCATCACGCAGGGAACCAAACAATCACGTGGAAAAAGAGACCTGCAGTCACAGCAGCAGGACAGACCCAGTGACACAACTCAGAATAACAGAGCAAGGTTTCATTCTAAATAAAAAGAACTACGTCCCCTCAGACACATGAAGAAAACGGAACAATACCAAAAAAAAAAAACCCACAACAATGGGTGGAACACAGCACAACAGTTGGAAAAGTGGGAAAGATTAACATCAACAAACCAGTCACTGAGCCTATGAATTAACCAATCAGCATCATTATCCTCAGAGGTTTTTATACCATACCCTGAACAGAGACACACTATTTCTCATAAAAACACAGCTGACTTACCCTGGGAAACTGTACTGAAAAGTGCAGGATCAATGTCCGGAATAGTCTGTGGAGTAGGTTGGATGGTATTAGTTGTAACACCTGCAGGTCAGAAAACCACAAATGGGTATTAAAATTTTACACCTTTTTAAACATACAGTAGGAAAGCACTTGAAGGCTCACAGAGCAATTGCATTACTTCACTTCCTGTTCTGAACCCTTAATGGTTTCTAATTTGATACAGTTAGTTGATGTTGGGGACTGGTATAGAAAATATGCAGGAAAATACATTTTGAGTGTTTACATGTGTGTACTGGCTACACATTTCCTATTATGTATTTTGTCTGTCATGTCTAAAGCTTCAACTTGCTTCTCAATTAAAGCTCAAGTATCTGTAGAAGTAATGAGACTCCTCTCTTACCTATTAATTTCTTGGTCAATTAAATAATTTGGGGTCAAGGTAGGATACAATTATGATTTAATTTACCTTCCAAGATAAGTCTCATTTCAACCCTCTGCATTAAATTAAATATTATACATTCCAAATGTCCAGTTAACACGTTTTTAAGATGGCATTGTTATATATCCAATAAGAAATTAGTTTTGACTTGTTATTAGAACTTGTTATGACTGTCATATTCAGTAAATTACTAGCATTCTTGACTAATGCTAAGTGATATAAACTGAAGATTTCTAATCATTAAAAAAATTAGCACACACTGTTAAAACTTCCCAAAGACTTAAATGATTTCATCAGCAAGAAAGCAAATGAACAAAAAAGTTAATTACTCGAAATCAATGCATTCAGGTAGAAAACAGGATTCATTTGCTCTGAGCTCACAGGTTAAATTCAAACAGGCAACGTGCAGTAAGAGTAAAGTGGGGAAAAAATGAAATAAAGAGGAAGTAGAAGGAAGAAAACAAAAGCACAGTCAGTGAGCGTCTAGCACAATGGTTTCAAAAAGGTGGACTTACATTCCAAACTGCAGTCTGAGGTTTGAATTTGTGACTTTGAAAGACTTTCTTTATCACCAACCCAAAAGACAAAATGGCTTAAGTATATATACCTTTTATCTCATTTAATTTCGATTTAGGGCAAATTAGTTCCATGTGTACCTTTAGAACTATTAAGTCATAGAAATATTACTTTCTAACTAAAAATTGAATGAAAAATTTAACCCTGGCTGGAGTGGCTCAGGAGATTGAGCGCTCACCCGAGAACCAAAGGGTCGAGGTTCAATTTCCGGTCAGGGCCCAGGCCTGGGCCGCAGGCCAGGTCCACAGAAGGGGGCGTGTAAAAGGCAACCACACACTGATGCTTCTCTCCCTCTCTCTCCCTTCCCCTCTCTAAAAATGAATGAATGAATAAATCAAATCTTAAAAAAAAATTAAAAGTAAAAAGGGATACAGATAAAGAGTCAAGCAGAATTTTTAAATGGTAAAAAAAGAATGTACACGAACAGCCTACTTCTTATTTCCACTCAAGGCCACTTCAGAGCCACCATCAGTCTCTAGGGCCCGCTCCGTGCACCTGTAAGCACGTGTGTGTCTGGAGCAGCGTACAGGTATAAAGATGAATGTTCTGTAACCCTTTCATAGATCCATCTAGATAACAATGCCATTCCTTGTATGTCTGCCCTAATTAAAATCCTCCAAACAAATGCCTTTCTTTATGGAGATGGAGTATGTACTTTTCATGACCAGCATTCTGCGCTAATTTTTATAAAAAGATTTTTATTTATTTCTAGAGAGAGGAAGGGAGGGAGAAAGAGAGGGAGAGAATCATCAAGGTATGGTTGTCCCTTGAGTGCCCCCTACTGGGAACCTGGCCAGCAACCTAGGCATGTGCCCTGACTGGAGACCCTCTGGTTTGCAAGCTGGCACTCAATCCACTCAGCCAGACCTGCCAGGGCTCTGCACTAACTTTTAAATATATATATTTATATACCTCCATATGATCAGGCATGTGATATCAATTAAGAACAAACAGAATTTACAGGGAAAAATGTAGTTATGCAGTAAAATTTTATTTGAGCAGTAGTCTGCATTTAATTAAAAATTCTGGTAGTAGTCATTCAACTAAGACTTGAACTAGCAACACAGGCTGTTCAACATGCCTCCTACAGCAGGCAGAAGATGCTGCTTCGAGTCTGTCTTGACACACGAGCCAAGGCCTGTGCTCTTGGCAACCACTGTAGCATGTTGCCACAGGCCCAGCATCCTGGTACTGGCTCACCACAAGTGCATGAGTACCAGCCAGATTTCTAACACTCATTTTTAATGGGCTGCAGCCCCCTATTCTGCAACAGGTTGGAGTGAGGATTCCCGGGGAGTTGGCAGTGTTTTTCTTTCTATTATTTAACAAAAAAGAAGCACTAAAAAGTAATTTTGGCTAATTTTAAAGTAGATGGTCACATATCCTAGTAGATGGGATTAATAATACACATTTAAGGATTAAACGCTGCAAGGTTCTAATTAAGTACTAAATTGTTCTATTGACTAAACGGTGTTGACAAAAATAGGTATGTGTTAGAAAACTAGGGAAGACCATCCAAAGAAAGGATAATTAACAGAACCCTGAAAGGTGGTAGGTAGCATTTGGAGAGGCAGTGACAGGCAGGAGGACATGCTACCCCTTAGGGACAGCACTCTAAGTAGAGGTAAGAAAACAGGAGAATTTTGGCTGAGTAAAACTTCAGTGCAATCACGGAAAACAGCATGAATATAAATGATTAGGTCAGAATATAAACAAGTTTGAAAGCTGCGTAGAATGCAAATGCAGCACTACTGACATTTAGAAAAACAACAGTAAAGGTTTTAATATACACATGAGGTGAGCTGCATTTATAATGAAAAGGCGAGCACTCATTATAAATTATGACTTAATCTATTTAGATTACTCACTGAAACCTTCTTCTGTATTTACCAACTGTAAAAGTGAGTGTTTCAAGAGCAAGAAATCAGTACACCGCATTCTTCACATCTGCTTCTACAGTGGGTAAAGCACAAGGGCAAACTCATGGCCTCTTTAAACAATCGCTACCCCCGCTCTCCCTGCACCCCCGTCACTTTCTTGTGGAAGAACTACAAACTGTATATTAGTACATACTATTCTTTTCAGCTATCTTAAGGATTTCCCTTTGATAAGAGTGCATCCTGGACCTTTATATGAGAGAGAGTAAATCATTCTTAAAGTGAGTAAGAGGGGAAACATCTGCTATATTTATAAACTAAAAATCTTAGTTCATTTTCTATTAGGCAACTATAAACTGATTTTTTTAAACTGTTTTAAATATAATAGAAAAAAAAATGCTGCCGGCTAAGAGAAGACTCCAGCATTTCAAATCAATTTTAGAGGGGAATACATACTGGAAAAGCAGGTTTTGATTTGAGAACATTAGCTCCTTACAGTAGGGTCAAACTCATTTCCACCGGGGGCCACACTAGACAGGTTGCCTTCAAAGGGCTGAATGTAAGTTTAGGACTGTGTAAATGTAACCACTCCCTAACTAGACACAAGGAGGTTGGCGCTGCTGCCGGGTAGAAACAAGGTGCTAGGCCTGATACAAGAAGGTGGAGGCTGGGTTTGGCCCCAGGGCCTTGGGTTCGCCACCTGTGCCTTGGAGGAAGGAACACGAAAGGAAGGTGCCAAAAACATGATACAGAGTGACTTGGGTTCACACTCTAGGTAAGCTTGTATTTTAAACTTCTTGGGATAATTGCCTAATTTCTTTACTTTTTTAAGTTTGTAAATTAAGGACAACAAATATCTAATACAGATCCTGTAAGAATATTTATAAAATAGCTATAATTGTTTAAATGCTAAGTCTGTGAGAGTGTATAAAGTAACAAGATAGGACCTTATCCTAAGAAAGGTTGCAGGGTTTTAGTTTTATTGTTCTACTCTGAGGAAAAAAAGAGAAAGAAAAAAATAAGGTCAGAACACGACTGGGTGAAAATGACCTGTTCGTGCCAGAAAATCTCCTGATAGAAGAAAGATCACCTCCTAATACCTCTTTGCATGTGATGCATTTTCCAAGCAGGAGATACTGTCTGTTGATTTTAATGTGTAAAACTACCAATATTCTATCACTTTTGTTGGACAAAAAGCAATTTTATGTGGTTCAAGCTGACATAACCCTTTGACTGCAAGTATACATTCCCTCACGTATATACCTGGAGGATATCTACATATACAATATGAATGTACGGCTATACCACTACTGTGCTCTAAGATATACTGTTTAAAGCAATATCCCTAGGCAATCTTTTAAGGGCACATCCTATCCCCAGATGTGACACTTCCTTTGATTCACAAAATGACTTAAGTGCTCATTAACCTGCTAATAAATACCCTTTCTTTGGCACAGAAATAGGAAGGAAGAGACAAAAAAAAGGAAAGGAAGCTAATCTGCTGATTTGCTATTTTGTGTCAGGCATATAGTACAAGTCAATTTTCATTCTTTTTCCTTTTTAATAATTAAAACAACCATGAGAAGTTAAGTATGATTGATTTCATTTTAGAAAGAGGAAAAACCTTGGTCAGAAGAAGGTAACAATTGGGCTTGTGGTTTAGCAAGGGGCAGAAACTAACAGCCAACACGCATTTGACTCCAAAACACATTTTGTTCCCACTTCACTCGTCTAAAGGGACGCTTGTGTGTGCAGCTCTTGACTAGTGGGTAAATTTAGTGGTGTAACTCAAACAGTATTCCTTTAAGACTAATGCCCCTAAGTGGATGGTTTTGCTTATATCACTCTACAGACATTTTCAGTATTTCTAAAAGATAAGATACTGAAAACAGTGTTCTATCAAATTTTACTTGCAAACTAATTCAAGTTGGTTTGCTTATTAATGACATCACATAGACAATAAAGTAATAAAATGGCAGAATAAAATATACAGAATGACACCCATATACAGGCTGACACAAGGGATCAGTGTTAAAACTATTACAACTATTAGGTGTAAAAAGAACCTAAATGGTTTGTGTAAGCTGAGGCTGAAAAATCAATGGAGTAATGGGGTGTTACAGAATAGAAATGGCAGAAATTGGGACTCAAGGGATGATTCATCAAATAAATGTTTGTACAGTTTACTATTACTGAACTTATTGGGGTGATACTGTCTGTCTAACAAAATCACACAGGTTTCAGGTGCACAATTCTACAGCACAATCACCTGGATGTACACTATACTGTGCGTTCACCACCCCAAACCTCTGCCCATCACCACTTAACCCTGCCATACCCTTCACCACAATCTTGTGCATGTCCATGAGATTTTTCCTTTTTGCTCAATCCTTCTACCCCCACCCAGTTCCCCCCTACAGATGACAGCCTGCTTTCCATCTATGAGTCTGTCTCTGTTTTGCTTATTAATTTTGTTCATTAGATTCCACATATCACTGAAATCATCTGGTACTTGTCCTTCTATGATGGGCTTATTTCCCTTAGCATAATGCTTTCTAGTTCTATCTACGCTGCTGCAAAGGGTAAGAATTCCTTCATTTCTACAGCTGAGTAGTATTTAGTTGTGTGAATGTACCACAGTTTTTTTATTCACTCAAACTTTTAAATGTCTCTCGACTCATGTGAAAATAACCTAAATGGTTTGGGTAAACTGAAGCTGAAAGTCAGTGAAGTAATAGTGTTACCGAATAGGAATGCTAGAAATCAGGACTCAAATATTGACTCATTTTAACAATTAAATGTTTTGAAATGTTTGTATAGTTTACTACTGCGTATTACCCTTATGCTGGAAGGTAAAACTTTAACAATAAAAACTTTTAAAGAGTTAAAAGTTAAAGAGTTAAATGATGGTTTTAAATATCCTTCTATCTGGAAAAAGGGGTGATGCTATGTTAACAACACATGTACAAGGAAGAGTATCTCTTTGCAATTCATAAAAATGTCTTTACTGATATCACTCTCCTGGAGACTAGTTCCATCAGATGTTTCCTCTATGAAAACACATACGTACAGTCCTGAACTATTCCAAGATGGTAGAGATCGTGTCCCTGTTTCTAGTCACAGTTTGTAATCTTAAAAAAGAAAACCAAAAGAAGCCCTCTTTCACTGGCCTGTGCCTTCCCCCCTTTATCAATAACATGAGGACAGAGCAGCGTCCTCGGTTAACGGGGCAGGAAAGTCGAATCTTGCTATCAAAGTGAGGTGCTGCCTGACCCATCCTACAACCACGCCCCTCACTGCAGTGCTGTCCTGTACAACAGTGAAGGGGAAGGAACAGGAGAGGAAGAAAAAGGAATCAGCACCACACAGGAAAAGAATAGAAGCTATTCTTATTAATAAAACATGAGGTTAATAGTAATCGATATCTGCAAATGTTTGTCATTTCTCATGAAACTAAAATACAGTCAAATCTTGGATCTCAAATGTCTCCCTTCTCAAACAATTTGGTTCTCAACCAAGTTGTTCTTGGAAAAAAATGTCTCAGTTGTCAAACAGAACTTTGGTTCTCAACCTAACCACCCTCTCATGCTAACACAGTATTTCTAATGGGAAAAAATGATTTGGCTTTTGAACAAACTGGTTCTCAAACAGCCCTCTGGAACGAATTAACTTTGAGGACCGAAGTTCCACTGCAGTACAACTGATACTAAAATTTCCATGAAAAGAATTTAATGTTTTTTTTGTGGGTGCCAATGAACTTAAACGCCTTATCATGAGGGACAAGCAGTGCGGCTCTTCCTTCTGAAAGAAGGGCGCCCACTCGCTGAGCTCCGCCCCTACCTGTGCTGTGGGGCACTTCTGCCGGTGTATTGGCTGGGGCGTGGGCCCCGGGAGGGATCTGGACTCCAGAGTAGCCACCCGGCGGCAGGCTGCTGGGGTCGTAAGCTGAAGACGATGGCGGAGGGGGCTGAGTGGGCAGAGAGGCTGCTCCGACGTCTTCACTGTCTTCGACATCTGTTAACATACATGCAAAGTTAAACTAGGTACCTTGAAATACAAGTGCTGAATATTCTTACTTTGCTATACAGGCGTGACAGATCTTCAAACGCAAATCTATTTAATGCTGTCCATAAGCAGGCTCTATCAAAAAACAGTTATACCATACAATATACAATACAATAATTTTCTCCTATATTAGAGAACTCCAACATTTACACATTCTGGGAAGAGGAAAAACCCGCTGTTTAAAGGCATGGCAAGTAATGAAAAGTTGGTAGCAACTAGAGAGAAGATGGCCCTTGGGAGGAGAAATCTGACCAGGTAAGAACTCCTTTTTGTGTCTTTTGGACACAAAAGGGCACTCAACAGTCTGTACAAAGGAAGTGTTGCAGACAAGTGAGTCTTAAAGCGTGTACGTGAACCCCAACGAAATAGGTGTATGGCCCTCAACTACGCACACACTGAGAGTCCAGGAAGCCTGAAAAAGCAATGCCTTCCAGATGGAAGAAGAGGGGCAGTGTTTGAGTTCAGGCAGTTAACTGCCTGTTAGATCAAGGATCAAGACTTCACAGAGAAAAATAAAAGAATGCAAAGGAACTACGAGATTGTTTATTTATCAGCAATAACAATGAAGAGAAATCCGGGGCGGGGGGAGAAAAAAATGTGACCAGAGTCATGAAAAAAAGAGTCTATAAAAAAAGACCTCTCAAATGACCCAGACGTTGAAATGAACAGAAAATAACTTAAAACTAGGTACTATATCATAGAGAAAAATATGGTCATAATGAACAGAAAAGGAAAAACTCACCAAAGAAAACTCTAAGAAGGTACAGAAACAAATGAAACCAACAAAAAAACAAATGGCAAAAATACTAGGCTTGAATCTAGCCTCAGCCATAATTACACTAAATGTAAATGGACTAGACAGTATTTTAAGACTGATGTTAACAGACTGGGAAAAACATACCTACATACTTTAAGACTCACATAATGTTTCAAATAAGAGGACGAACACAGGTACACCACGGACATACCAAGCAAACAAAACCTGAAGGGTTCGTTTCAGTAACAGACAATACTGATTTCATGCTGAAATATTTTCTTTTAAATTTTTTACTTTTTAGAGAGAAGGGAAGGAAGGGAGAAAGAGGGGGACAGACACATCCACTGGATGCCTCTCATACATGCCCTGACCAGGGACCAAACCCACGACCTGGGCACATGCCCTGACCGGGCACTGAACCGGTGCCCTTTTGCTCTGCAGCACAACTAAGCCACACCAGTCAGGACATCATGTCAAAAAATATTAACAGATACAACAGGATATTTCATAATGATAAGGTTAGGTAATTAACAAAAAGTAAATAATTACAAAGGTGCATGTGCCTAGTAAAGTTTCAAATAAAACAGAAACAGAACAAGTCAATACTCACTATATTAAATAGTATATATTTTATAAGGCTTTCCAGATATACATACACGCATACAGTAAGTAGCTCTGCAGAAATTCAGAAGAGAGAGCATCAGGTAGGCAAGAATCAGGTAAAGAAAGAACAGCATTTGAGGAGGACGGCACAGTTTTACCTAAAGAAAGAGAATAAGGTACTTCCTGGCTCTCCTGGGGTTGTAATAAAGGGTATAAACAGCTGCTATGGAACTACGCCGTGTCCTCCACCCCAAGATTCATATGATGAATCCTTAATCCCCAATGTGATTATTTGGAGACAGAATCTTTAAAAGGCAACCAAGGTTAAATGACCTCATAAGGGAAGAGCCCTGATTCGATAGGACTATGGCCTTATTAGGAAAAAGGTTTCTCTGTGTCTCTCTGTCCAGCCTGTGAGAGCTGAGAGAGAGGGGGCTGCCTGAAAGCCAGGAAGCTTGCTCTTACCAACAACCAACCAATCCCTGACAACCCTGGATCTCGGATGGACTTCCCAGACTCCAGAACTGGGAGGAAGTAAGTACATGCCTGTTCCTTAAGCCACCCTGGTGATGGCTTTTTATTATGGAAGCCTAAGCCAACTAAGACAATAGTGGACAGAAATAAGAAGTAAAACTGGTAAAGAAGGTTGGTGCCAAATTGTGGTGGAGAGTCTTGCTTAGCAAGTTAAGAATCTTGGATCTTTTCTTATGGACACTTATGTGCCCACAGTAGGACTGACATAAAACGTTCCTAATTGTACTTGGTATTAAAGTAGAAAAAGAAGTATGTACAACATCCTCAAAAATTAAATGAAATGAGAAATTGTGTTGTGACAATTTACTTATAACCCAGAAATGTAACCACACTTTGATGATTCTATTTTATACACTTAATCAACAACTATAACAACATAATATATTATATTATTCATGCTGTAGTGTTAATGTAAAAAAAACAAAACTTGGCATAAGTTGCAAGTTCTAGTTCTTCCTCATTGTGGTTCTATGACCTCAGGCTGGCTTCAAAACCCACGGGGAACCCCAATTTCCTCATTTGTAATACAGGAATTACTTAAACTGTCTCTTAGGGAACCTCTGAAGGCCTGGGATATATGAAAGTAATTGATAAACTTTAAGGCACTATATGAATGCAAGGCATTTATGATATAAGATAACTATACACGGCATTCTATGTGAAAAGGCTGTTTAGAGATCAGATGGGATCAGATCAGTTGTGTTTTGAAAGTGGACACTTACACTGCAACGCACATGTGTCTCCACGCAGAACTGCAGCACAATTGTACAGTGAAAAATTCTGAGGGCATCACACCCATGCAGAAATTATTAAAAGGCCTTAAAAGAACTAAAATACCATTCATTTCATCAGTACACATGCACTCACTGGGCACTGACTGAGAAAAAATTTTAAAAATCTAACAGGCGAATTTCCATAGAACAGTGTCAGCAAGACACCCCCAGTACAGGGCCAGCTGGTCTGAGACACACACACAAATTCTAGGAAATATCTGAATAAAAGATAATTCCAAGGTTTTTAAAATGTCCCAAAGCACAGAAAAAACACCAGAAACTTTCAGACTATATTTATGAAGTGTAAAATTGATACCCCAAAGTAAAACTGCAGCCAATTTTACTTATGTCAATATGAAAATCCTAAGTGATATAGTAGTAGCAAATTAAATCCATCAGTGTAATTTAAAAAATTACATCATGACCAAGTGGGGTCACATATTACATTTACATTGTATATTACACAATGTAAAGTTGGTTCGATACAAGACAATCATTTAACAGAACTCACTATAGTAACAGATCTAAGGAGATAGATTAGATTGGAGTTGGCCAACTATGGCCAGTGAGTTGGCTGCCTGTTTTGTAAATAAAGTTTTGTCAAAACATAGACACATTCATTTGATTACATACTGTCTGTGGCGGCTACCTCTCCAGGACAAGAGTCCAGTCAAGCAGCTACAATAAGTCTGAAGTATGTACTGTCCGCCCGGACCGGCGTGGGTCAGCTGGCTGAGCGTCCTCCCGTGAAGTGAGAGGGTGCTGGTTCACTCAGTCAGGGCAGGGTGGTGGGTTCGGTCCCCTGCCAGGGCACCTGTGAACCACACCAACTGATGTTTCCCCCACACATCAGTGTTTCTCTCCCTCTTTTCCTCCCTTCCCTTCTGAAAATAAATAAAATCTTTTTAAAAATGTATGATCTAACCCTTTAAGAGAAAGTTCACTAACCCATGGATTGGATAATCATCTTCACAGATGCCTAAAAATTATATAACAAGTGCAAAACATAACATTTTCTGTTTTAAAAAAATTATTTCAATTGTTGTTCAAGTACAGCTCATGACATTTTCTTAATTCAGAGAACGATGGTTGTTTTCATTGTAAGGGTCAATTTCCTATCCGTTTAATCAGTGAAAACAAGTAAGAAATGTTTTTCTTTTTCATTACTCATTAACTAAAAGACCAATGAAATAATGAGACCTTTATTTTTTCATGATTAAATTTTATAAAAGCACTCATTATGAGATGATGAAATTTTCCTGTATATATTAAGTAACAGAGTAATCCAGCAAAAAACCTAGGTGCAGAACATGTATTACCAATTGTGTGAAAAAAGGAGGACATGTATTTCTACCTGTAAATTCATAAAATGCATCTCTGTAAAGATACACAAAAAACTAAAAAAGGAGTATTTAGTGATTAGGTTATAGCAGGACCTGGGAATATGAGGAATATGGTGGAAATGAGAAACTCACTTATTTTTAATATACTCTATAAATTTTGAACTATATGAATGTATTATCAACCCCCATCTGCTGAAAAAGCTCAAATACAGAAAACACAATATGATACCCTTTGCTTTTTATTTTTCATAAGATTTTATTTATTTATTTTTAGACAGGGGAAGGGAAGAGAAGGAGAAAACTTCAATGTGTGATTGGCTCTCACACACTCACTACTGGGACCTGGCCGGCAACCCAAGAATGTACTCTTGACTGGGAATCGAACTGGCGACCCTTTGATTCGTGGGCCCATGCGCAATCCACTGAGCCACACCAGCCAGGGCTGTAAATATTTTTATTTTTAAATTACAAATGGATTGTCTGTTCCACGCAGGAATGAAATCTCATTAGAGGTAGGAGATAACCAGCCCTTTTGTTGATTAAGTTTGACATTAGAAGAATTTTTCCAGAAATTTATGCTTTTATATCCAATTTTCATGAATTTTGGAACTGATGGAGAAAACAAAATCGTACGATTCCTTCAGAAAACTGTAAATAAGAATACAATGCCCAATTATGATTCTACCAAATCATTGTACCGAGATAAATACGTACCGTTCTCTTCCTCCATTCCAACAGGCCCCGCCTGAGGGGTCTCCCCACTCTTCAAACAATGATGGATGTACGTCGCCTTCCACCTCGCGTACTTTCTGTGCTTCACATTCTAAAGGACGTATTTTTGTATCGGTTAGACTGCAGTAAAACAGCTAAGAAAACGAACACGCATTTATGATAACCGGCACCATAGTTTTTAAGTGAAGCCCATTTCTGCACTGAACAGCTCTGAAGGAGGCTGGCCCACAGCCCACCCACCGCCGATTCTACCCACTGCTGAGGGCTCCATGGGCTTCGTGAAAAGCTACCTTCCTTGAAACACGTGCCCAGTTCTCCTACGGTGCCGGGTTGCAGGAAAAGTCTGCAGTGGAAACATGGGAGTGTCCTTCGAGGAAAACACCCAACTTTCAAGCACAAAAAGAGAAAACGAGGCTAGACAAAATTCTAAAATGAAATGTGAACGGTAATAACACTGAACTGAAACTATTATTTTCACTAGAGAGGGAAAAACTCATTTGTACAAATCCAGGAAAACTAAATGTAGTTAGTGGTTAAGATGAGCGAACGGACACCAGACAGACAGTTGGGCAACTGTGCCTTTAACCTGCAGCACACTATTTACCAGCTCCGAGTCCCAATGACTTCAGTCCCAAAAAGGGAGGAGTAATACCTCATGGGACTGTTGTAAGAACTGAAAATATCAGTGAAGAATCTGCTGGTTGCTTCTTCTTTCCTGCTTTTAAAGTTTATGCTATATGCCATAAAATAAGATAAAAATTTGTCTAACAACACACAAGAGTAAAACCATCAGAATTTGGGATGGCACAGTGATTTTGAATTCATATGGACCTTTGTGATACTCTTGGAGCAGCAGTACTGGTACACCTGGGAGCTGGTCAGAAATGCAGAACCTTCCAGCCACCACCAGACTCTGTACTGCAAAGACCCCTAGAGGATCTGCATGCCAATTAGAGTTTGAGAGAACAGCTTGATTACGGTGAAAATGATTGTAATTTGCCTTTTGCAAAGATCCACTAAGTCTCCTATGACTACAAATATAGCATACAGTTCAGATACTTAGTTATTTTATGTGAGATTCTCTAGATACTACAGATGAGTACTATACAGAACCCTAAAAAGTAACCCCCCAAATTACTGAATTTGTGCCATACTTAACTTCCCTTTTCTTACTGAACAACCCTTATATATCCTGTTTTATAAAAGGTTCTATACATCGATTTCCAACTTCCAGGTATGATTATAGTTTGTTTTACTTCACAAAGAAGCTTTTCAAAAGAAGTATCCACACTTAAAGTCTTCACTTCATTCAGTTCATTCTAGGGAGAAGTTTCTCTGTATTCTTTTTGTTTGGTTATTTTTTGTAAAAAAAAAAAGAAGAGCATTTCAGTGTGCCCATGACTTCCAATGCGGGGATCCCACATGTGCCAGCTGCCTCATTTAAGTTTTTCACTTGAAAAACTCCTCTTGCAAATTTCACCAACAACCTACTCACACCGGTAACACCAATGGACATCTCTCAGGCACTGTATTACCAAACTTGTCAGTAGCACACTAAACACTGAACCATTCTGACATCTGTGAAACACTGTCTATTCCTGGTGTTTATGACACTCTCGTCTCCTTGTTTCCCTCCTATGTCTTTTATTTATTAACCCTCTGACTCCAGATATTCTTGCACACTCTGTCCTAACAAAGATTTTGAACTGCTGGACTCAAGCAGTGCTGACTCACATAGAATTTTAAATAGGAACTGTTTCCACAGAATTAAACACTACATAAATCAAAGAAAATCCAAATTCCTAACTTGTAAAAAATGGAAACTCTAGAAACCCAGGGCCCACGCTGACGGGGTGACCATCACCTGAACTAAACCATCCATTCACCTTTACTCACTCTTTCCAGCTCACAAAGCCTGTCAGTTGCCATTTTTATTCTTTACCTCCTAGTGGGCTACTCACTATCTACCAGATTCCTACAGCATTAGCTCTTTGCTACAGCATTACCTGTAACAGGTAACCTTGACCATCTCAAACCTCTGCATTTTCTCTTGCCTCTTTCCTGTATAATTCATTCCTCTATCTTCAAGGATTTGCTAAAATGTTACCTTTTCAGTGAGCCTTCCCAAACCACCTTCTTTAAATCGACTCTTCTATTTCCACCTTGAGCTTCTTCATGACACTTACTTAACATACGTTTTACTTAATAATTTGTTTATGGTCTACCTCTACCACAGCAATATGGTTCCCACGAAGGCAGGGGTTTTATGCATAATGGTATTTCTAGTGCCTGGAGTCATGCCTAATTTATAGTACACGAATATTTGGTGAATGAATGGATTTCATGATTTTCTTAAAAAAAAAAAATCTATGCCCGGTGAAGGTGGCTGTCCTGAAACCATACAATGAAAAACACTGAACTGGAGTAAAACGTTTTTTTCTTTTTTTTTTTTTTTTTGCATTTAGAAATGTGACCAGTAGTTTTGAGGACAGTTTGACCTAGGCATTCAGGGAAGGGTCAGTGGACAGGGTTGAGGGTGGCTGTGAAGCTCCCTGAATTATATGCAAAAAATGCAATATACACGTGCATGGGAGAGAAACCAAAGCTCTCATAACATTTCAAAGTTGTTAGTGCTACCAAAGAAATGAATAACCTCTAACCTGGTAGTAACAACACATTTATACTCTTAGTACCCCAATTCTGCCAAGCATATTAAGCAAACAACAAGGTCTCTATATTAAACTCCCAGGAACACTGGACATAATATAATGAAAAATGTTTGAAAAACATGTATTCAGCAAGTTTATTATCATAGTGATTCAAATACTCAAGTATGTCACAAATGTTCAAGTAATATCATAAATTGCATTTATTTCCTAATGGAAATTTATTTAGCATTTTTAGACTTATATTTTTCAAAGCAACCAAAATTTTATAAAATAAGTTTTAAAAATTAGAGTAACACTATATCAAAATACCCTAAATTGTAATACACAAATACATAAATTTAACTACTCTATTTTTATAATAATATCTGGAATGTACATTTCAATGAACCAAAGATGGCAGAAACACTAACTGTTTAATAAAAAAATATACTGGATAAGAGAAGGAACCAATGTTACCTTTCGAAACAAACAAATGAAAAAAAAAAACAAAACAAAAAGCCCCCAGTTTTATGAAATAACATTCAGAGAAAAGTTTAAAAACAGTAAAAAATACTCCCATACACTCTTCACTCAAATTCCCCAAATGTTTACACTTTTCTCTATCAATTTACAATTACAGGGTGGGGCAAAAGTAGGTTTACAGTTGTGAATATACAAAGTTTATTGTTATATTAATTATTGTATTATTTTCCATATAAACTGTAAACCTACATTTGCCCCACCTGTACATATAAACATAGTACTTACGATAGAATAATAAGCAATCTGCTTAGTTATACACAACTGTTTTTCTGTACCCTTTAAGAGTAAGTGGGGAAGTCACGGTGACCCCAATGCTTTCTCTATCCGTTTTCTAAGATCAAGGACAACCTCAGACACAATGGTTATTAAGATCAGGAACTTTAACACTTAGGGAAGAATGCTATCTGACCCACCATCCCAATAAATTCTGTCAATTGTCCAAATAATGTTCTTGGAAGTCACTCCTCCCCTGGGTCTACTTTAGGAAGCGTGGATTCTTTAGCTGACGTGTCTCCTTAGTCTTTAATCTGGAACGGCTTTTGTTAGTGTTTCTTGACCCCGACATAAAAAAATAAATACCATCCTAGTTGTAAAAGGTCTATCAACCTGGATTTGTCTGTTAGCAGGACTGGCACTGAAGTGACGTGTGTCTTTCTCAGCTGGTCCCGACACTGGCTGTACTAGGAGTGATGCCTCAGTTACATTGGTGCTAGACAGGTTTCTCCATTCTCCTCTAGCTCCACTTTAAAATTAGCAAGCAATTTGGGGAAAGATATTTAGAGACTACTGTAAACATCCTCTTCATCAAACTTTCAACTCACTAGTTTTAAACTCCACTAATGACTTCTAATTTCATCTTTACTTCTATACTTAACAGTTAGAATTCTACTGTTAAGAACCTCCTGTATTCCTTCATTTCATTTCACTGTATGTTTCAGTACAGATCCATAGATTCTTATTTTATTCAGTGGTTACTGTCTATTAATGTCATCCTTATTTTGATGCTCAAATTGTCTCTGACCTGGACAATGGAAACTCTTTCAAACTGGCTTCTGGATACTTTTGACATGTTCCTGTAATTATGTGAACACTTCTTCACTTTCTGGTTACAAGAAGGTCTGACTTCATTTAGTACTTGTCCTGACACAGGTCTTTTCAGCCCTTTCTACAGGAATCCTGGCTCCTTTTACAGTTGAGGGTATTTAGAACCCCAAATCAGGCACTCTGCGTGCTCAGTGCTAGTGATGCATCCCTGCTTGCAGGTACGTTCAGTACAGAGATGCAGGAGCTGCGTTTCATGGGCACGTATACACACAGCTATGATATACGCTGTACACAGACAAATGCATGCATATATTGTATATACACACATTTGTAGTATTACATATATACCATCTATATACATATATCAACTTTGCTCCATTTATCTAATGTACTTAAAAGCAGAAATTATTATGGACATCTCCAATCCAATCCAATAAAATGTAGAATGTAGTATTTTCCCATCCCATATTTTAAGTTCTTTCTCCAGAAGTAAGAAACCTGGCTCTCAATATTTACTCATTTGCTCAATCCTAATATACAGAGTAGGCAGTTTTAGAATTGACAACCTAATACCATCGAGAAAAAGCAAACCTATAAATAACAGTTCAATATTTAACTTCTTTGTGGTAAAACTGACATACCTTGATATGTATAAATCTTAAATGTATAATTTGATGAGCTTTGACAAACAGATATGCCCCTGTAAAACATACTATCAAAATATAATATTCCTAGTTCCCAAGAAAGTTCCCTTATATCCTTTTCCAGATCAATTTTCCCTTGACCCCACCTTCAACAACCTAGTTTTTTTCACTAGAATAAATCTGTCTTTATATGAAAGGAATCATACAACTGG